CAGAACAATGTGTCACGAGATAGCAACACTACCTGCCCTTATGCTTTATTTCGAGAATGTTCTGACCCATCTTCCATATCAGGAGGCTGCATGGAAATTTGATGATATGGCAATAACTGTGTGGGGGAGACCTGCCGACCATTCCAGAAAAGGTTAGTTGAAGATAAAACTAGATGCAAAGGGGCATAGGCCCACAAATATAAATTGGATGAACATATGGTTGATACAGAACACGAAATAGCATGGCCCAAAGTACAGCGTTTTTCGGGTCACGGGTATTTCACATCCAAGCTTAAGATTAAGGAGTCTATCGAAATAAACAGAACAGACAACATCGTGAATGGGAGGAATAAATGTAAGAAAATGTGCAGGAATATTTATGGCTGTTGGATAGACTTCAGGAGAGACAGGAAGAGAGGGAAGAGTAATAATTGCTAAATAAGAGTCCTGAGTCTAATTATGATTTTCCCACTTCACACAACTTTGACTTACAGTCACACAATATGCAATGCTCCACAAGTAAAAAATTGCAGGAATTGCACGATTTGGTTTGTTCGAGTCATGCGTCAATCTAGATGAATGTGTTTACGTGCATTTTTACCTGTGTTTATGTGCATTCATGTGCGATAGCAGGGATAGCTCAAATTATTTTTTACAGAGCCTAGCACATGCCCTTAGTCATCAATTTTTTTAGCAATAATTACAATTTCATAATGTCGAATAAACGTATGGTTAAGTTGTTCGGGACAGCAAGAGAGAGAGAGATACTTTACGAAAAAACGCACTCGATACACTAAACTAAGAGACTAAGGGTGGCCCGGTGCAATCACACTCACTTCATACATACCCACATACCCATCTTTTCGATCCGATGACGTATCGCATGATTTGGTTGCCTATTTCATACCCAACAGAACTTCTTGTAAATGGGGCAAGTTGATGCATGGGAAGCAAGCGCGTGTAGAGTCAGCTGTTTCCTCGCGTAAAGCATTCTACTCTTTTCACAATCCAGCAGTCTTCACTCGATTCCACGGCAATCACTCTTCGCTTTCTGGTGAGACCAATTCACGAATTCCGTCTTCTCACAGTAAATCACACAGGAATGCTTCTAAACCCAGTTTTATTAATATATGCTATAACTCTGGCAAAGAGCCACGAAGGCCATACAAAAAACAATGTTACTTGTGCTTGATTTTGTCATTATGACATAGATTGTCTTGAAACATTGTCATGCTTACATATAAAAGTTAAAATAATCGAAAATCCTCCTTAACATGTTTTGGAAATCGTATCTGCCTTGCAGACGTTGAAATTGTTGAGGTGTTCTTGGGCTGAGTCAAGGATGAAACTGTAATCCTTGTGGATGAAAAAAAATTTAAGCAGGCATAGCCAATTAGTGAAATTGACTATGTGAAATACTTCCCGATAAGAACTCAAACCAGCTAAAGGGGCCTAGTTACAAGTTGTGATTTAAAAATAACTGGAAGTTTCGAAATATGTTCCTACCGAATAGCCAAAAGGAGAGAGAGCATAGGAATGCCCAATTACAACGGATTAGCATCCGGTTTATTGAATTTCAAGACGGTTGTTTATTGGTACTCATAGATTGTATTCAAAGTTGGCTTGTCCACATCAACACTCCTAACGCCACGCCGCGGTGTAGGGAAGTGGTAGCCTACCAAAAATATGCACGGTTCTGTCTGGGTTCGGGCTCCGTTGGGGGTGTTAATGAGATCCAGATGCGTTTGAAACTGCCGTCCAGCTTGAATAACACTTAACTCAAAAGCAAAACTGTGGATAAATTAACTATGACTTCAGCACCATATGCTACCTGGGCTGAAAAAAGCCCTTACTTTGTGATGTTGGTATCGTTAAACCTTCTTGTCTACTAACAATATTATGCTCAGGAGGAATTGGAGATCGGCCTTCCGAGGTGCATTGAATCCAGCCCAACAGCCAGCCCTTCTTTGCCGATTCTCAACAATGGCAGAGTTGACTTCTCGACCGCTCAAATGCGAAACTCTTTGACCAGATGCTTAAAAAGAGGCCATCTCTCCTTGACGCTGAGATACCATAACGATGAAGAAAGTACAGCCAACGACGAAATGCATCTTTATATGGAAGGTCAGTCTTATTATTCACACTTTTTGTGACACCTCAAAGTAGGCAAGCGCGTCATCCCGAGTTCTATGAAAAAGAAAAAGCAAAAAGAATACATTTTCAGTTTTATACATGTGCTTTGAGACCACCAGTAGCTCATGAATAAGGATTGTATTCACCTCACTTCGTTTAAGGCAGTAATTTCCAAACTGTGGGCCACGAAATATTGTAAAAGCGTCAATTTGAGAAAATGTGCAGTGATTTGCAGGCTCATCCATCACATTAATTATTAAATATTAATTTGATGCTAATAAAGTAAAAACAATAATGAAGATACACGAGTTTTATTTTTTTTATCTCTTAATTATGAATTGTCATATTTAGGATAGAGCGCCATGGAAGAATTTTAATTGAAAAGTGGCGCCGCGACTAGGAAAAGTTTGGGAACTACTGGTTTAAGGTGATCAAAGACTGGTAGTTGAATTTTCCAACAATTAGATGAGTAGGTCTCAGGCTTCAATTGAATTTCACACAACCTTGCTTCCAAAAATGTATTCTTATTCCGCCAGTAGCCCCAACGGGACTCAAACCCGTTTGAGGTAGTGCAGTTTATAGTCTCGATACCATAATTCTGAGGCCTGCTCATCAGATAGTGGTACAATTTAACTTCTAGTCCATCATCACTTTAAATCAAACATGATGAATCGAGCTCTTGTTTCACATCTACTGCGAGTCCAGCAAGTCTACTTATAAAACGAATAAATATCTAATTACTTTATAGTAGCGAGTTATAACAGGAAGTTTGGTAGCTTTATTTTCGACTACAGGCCTACTTTTCATTATCGCAATCAGAACTACTTTCGGGCATAGGCAATCTCGGCCATGTCTTTCGTTTGACCATTAATCCTTGATCACTCGGGCATGACGTTAGGCATTTTGTACCAGCATAGCCTGTATTGTTTACTATACAGTACACTTATACGGAAAATAACAGAAGCAAACACACACACTCAAGCAAAATTATATATATATATATATATGTATTTATGTATGTATCTAAAATTTTGGCTAGTTTCGTTTTCTGTTAATCGTAGCACATTCACGATTATGTACCAACTCATCCACATTCGCATATTAACATAAAAGTACTTCGAGTAACATTGTAAGGAATAGAAAATATTATTCTATAACTATCTATACATATCCTGCTATTTTTTCTCCTAACTATATAGAGCATGTAAGGAAGAGTCTGTTAGCAATATGTTCTCAGTGGTAAAGTTTTTTAAGAATCAGGCCTAGTTACGATGATGTCTTTAGGTTGGGATGACCAAAAATCCGATCTTACTTTCAGTGTATAAGTAAGTTTTTGAGACTACCAATAGATCTGATATAAGAGCTATATTTATCCTATTTCAATTAAGGTGGTTGAAGTTTCCCACATGCATATGAGTGGGCCTCATTTTTCCATTGAATTTCACACAGCCCTGCCTCCCAATGCATCTTAGATGAAAATACTCTTTGGGAAGCAAGATTAGGTGAAATTTATTGGAACAGGTGACTTACTCATATAATTATTTGGAAATTCAAATACCAAACTTTCATCACCTTAAACGGACTAGTGTAAACATAATTACTACTCAAGATCTACGAGTAGTCTCGAAAGCCAACTTAGAAACGAAAATGCATCGTTATATCAAGTACGCCTACTATTGCTTCGTTTATATAAAAGAAAGCTAGATCTCGAAAGATATCAATAATTCTTTCACTTTGTTCAGAAAGTTGTTTAAACAGGATAATTTATATATTCTCACAAAAAAACCGAAGTAGGAGTCTGATGTGAATATGATTCGAGAATATCGGTAATACTTGCACAGCAGCTAGTCACTCTAGGTCGCTTAGGGTGACTAATGACAGATTGATATGAAATGAGTTTAACTCAAGATGCTGTTAAATTTCGCTTAATCTTGCCTCCAAAAAGGTGTTCTCGTATAATCTATGCCTCGCTTTCTGTCTAGCTCGGGGCTCATCAACACTTCCAATGGGTATCCCATATCACATTTATGTCGCGAATGTAGATTGAGCAAATACAAGGCTCAGGATAAGTAAAGTCTACAGTCAGGTGGTGATGAATTAACCTTTTTGGATGCAAGGTCAAGTGAGGCCCCTTCATTGTGTTGTGGAAAGAATTCTTTGACCCATCTTTAACTCATCATAAGCGACCTAAGTTGATTAAATTACTAAATTCACATAAAGTAGGTTACGAAACCAAGTCGGTTGTAATAGAAAACAAGAGTTTACATCATCGACAATTCCACTACAGAATGTGATCTTAAAGAGGCCTGGCTAGAATTGAAATTAAGATTTGACTAGTGGCCCACCAGCAGTCGTGTCAGTGTGTCGCAGTGGCAGCACGTCGAAGATAAGCGATGCACCCGCACAGCCTGGGGGGACTTATAAGACCTCGTATTCGGGATCGAAACAAATGTCAAGTTCTGATTGGAGGACGTAATATGGCCAGTACTCGCATTCGAATAACACAGATATTAATAAGTACTACTCATTATGAATTTAAGTAGGTAGGAACTGTCGTCCAGTCAAGCCGGGAGGAGAATAGCTTTGGTAGAAAGGGAACGATGAAAAGCAGTGTTACCATGAAGCGTAAACGTTTTATTGTGGCAAAAATTAGCATATTATGCAACCTTTGTTGACTATAACCTTATTTTTCGTAGTTAAATGGAGCTTCGAGTAGAGTAGAGCTGACGTTTCCATTGCATTTCACATGAAAGGATAATCTTTTATGAATTTGAGTAGATCTAAACTGCCGTCCATTCGATCCTGGAGAAGAACATTTTTTAGGAAACGAGGCAAAATGAAATGCGGTAATATCGTCATGCCGGTTAATGTCATTGTTTCAGAATTCATCCAACCTCTTCTCACTTACCCTATACGAACCTGGAAGAATGCATTTTTTACTTGAAGGCACTTTTCGGATAAGTCTTGATCCCCATCATCTAAACGGTCTTTTTTTGGTTTCCGATGCGGTCGAATGTCATGCGACGGTCTACAGGTCATCTGTGTCATGTGAATGGTTCAGCCATTTGAGCTGGAATGACTTACTTTTTCAGTATTTTTCTCGCATCACTTTGACGACCAACACTGTCCATTCGATCCTTCGCCCAGACGCCTCCGAGGGCCGTGGGCCGACCGGAGGCCACGGCAGATCGGGCCTGCGGAAGCCGGTCCCGAAGGGGTTCGGTCGGCACTCCAAATCAGCCGGAGCCTCGGTCTCCCGTGACGACTGCCTCCTGCCAGCTGAGCCGCGACCGCCCTCCGCCTCGTCCTCCTGCTCGTCTGTCTCTTCGTCGTCTTGCTGCCGTTGCCGCTGCCGTTGTCGACAACGTTGCTCTTGCCGTCGTCTCAGTCCCCACGTCAGTTGGTCGCCCGAGCAACAGCCGCTCTTCCACGCTTTGTCGCCGGCCTCGGGCCGCTCGCGCTTCTCCTGTCCCTGCTACACGCCGCGGCCAACCACCACCTTCGCACTGGCCGGATCGCGGCCGGCAACCGCCGGCCTCCACACGCCTCGAGCCAGCGTTGCCACGCAGACTCGAACCGTGTCGTCGCCACCGAAACCGCCGCCAAGGCCGAGTCGGCCGACAGCCCAGACCGCGGACACGTCGAGCGGCAAATGGTGGACAAGCGAATGGCAGTTGAAGGAGCCGGCCGCTGCGTCGGCACGTTCGCTGTCGCACAACTCCGTCGCCATGCACTGCCAGCCGGGACCCCCATTTCGGCCGCCTCCGTTGCCACCCCGACCGGGAAGACTGGCTGCGCAGGGCCGGAGGGTAGAGGGCGTCAAGCCGGACGATGCGCCTCGACTCGGCCTCGCATGGCCGGCTCTTTGGGGGGGGGACCAAGAGGTGCCTCCTCATTTACAGACAGCACCCGCGCCCTCCTTCCTTTCGCGTAAGTTTCATCCTTCCACCTCGTTCGGGTCGCGTTGGCAACTCAACCGGAATCAGAGCCTCGAAGGTCTCGCTACAACAAATAACGGATAGATTGCAAATCAACCGATCTGGACAGATATGACCAGAAACTTTGTTTCGAAGATCCACTTGGTAGATTGTTACTGACGTTCCTTTAATTTCGTTTGCGAAGGCCGGTAAAAGGGATTCGTTACTGGCCAGCGAACGTAAATAATCAAGAACAGGAGTTGGAAGGGCTAAGAAAAATCTTAGTTGATAACAATTATCGGGTAGGATTAATTGTTAACAATTTCAAAATATTGTGAAATAGGCTGAAAGAAAACCATTATTTTGGACAAAACAAGGAATTAGAAAACTTCTCGGCCAGGTTCCTAATGCTATCATCCTGCAAGCTTTCAAGAAAGATGGAAGCATTACTGAAGGAATGCATCGCCAAGACAATGTAGGAAGAAACATTAACGCTTTCCTCGATCAGCCTTTTTTTGGAGAATCTTCAGACGTCCCTTTCAGATCCGGTTGGTATAAGTTTCTAAGCTCAGGTGGGAGTGTTGATGTGGGGGAGACCTGCCGACCCATACAGAAGAGGCCATCAGAACATAGAACCGCCGGCAGAGGTTGATGGATTCAGAAATGGGAAGTGGCGGAACAAGTGGTCGCTACAGGACACCAGATAGAGTGGTCTAAATGCCAATGTTTTGCCGAATATGGGGACTCCACAGCTAAGCGAAAGATCGGGGCGTCGATTGAAATTAATAAAAGAAAGAACATCCTGAATAAGACGAATGAATGCAGGAGACTAAATAAGAACTTTCTCTTGCTGCTAATTAGATTAAGGGGGAGAGAGAGATAAGGAATGGGAACAGAAAGAAGCACTGAGTGAGAGGAGAAGAGTAGACTAAACTGGAGCCTGTTTTGGAACCTAAAATTGTAATCATTAAGCTTACTTCCATTTCGAGTGAAAGTGTTTAGTGAAGAGATCCAAGGTCGATTTCACCAGAAGACAACGTCGGATTTCTCTTGACCGGCTGTCGATTGGCTTTACTGGAGCATTCATGCTGACGCTGTTTCCGAGTTAATCTCCTTCCATTTCGGTAAAAAAGTGCCAAACTTTCTTCAGTCACATGACCAACATCATCAGAGCAAGGTCTCATCGGCACAACCAAGTTCAAGCGAACGAGTCAAGAAT